CTCATTCTCCAGGCACTGGTCTCTCCTGATAGCATGTCCAAAGTACATGAATGAGGTCTGGGCATCCTCACCTGGCTGTCCTTCAGTGAAGACACATGTATTTGTTCTTCTGGCTATGCAGTGTCATTTTGAATATTCCATCAACCATGCCACAACTCAAATACATTAGATTGTCCTCAGGCTCTTCCTTATTCATTGTCTAGCTTTCAGGTGCATATGAGGTGAATGAAAGTAGCATGACTTGAGTCAAGACATTATTCCTGGAAGCGGCATCTGTAAAGAGGCCGTGTGCGGCAGATTTGCCCAATGTAATAACAGACTGTTTGATAGTTTTTGACTGGTGCGGCTCTGAGTACACGCAAAATGAAATCCTTGGCAGTTTCAAGTCTTCTCTCCACTTACCGTGATGTTATCTCCTGGTCCCAGTGTGAAGATTTGGGTTTTCTACATGACTCACTGGAGTGGTGTTCCAGAATAAAGGCAGTAGTCATTTGCATCAACAAGTGTTTCAAATCCTCTTTGCATTCACCAAGCAAGATGTGTCATCTGCAAGCTGCAAGTTGTTAATGAGCCTCCTTCAGTCCTGATGCTGAGTTCTTCCTTGTGCTGTCCAGCTTCTCAGACATAAGTATAGTGAAAAAACACAATTCAGATGTACATATTTTCTGATTTTTAAATCATACTACAAAGTATGCTGTTGTTCTGTCCAAATTACTGCCTCTTGATCTATGTACAAGTTCCATAGGAGCAAAGCTCAGTGTCCTGAAATTCTCATGCATCACAGTGCTATCCATAACTTCTTATTGTTGACACAGCCTAATACATTTGCATAATCCACTAAGCACAAGTAAGCATCTTTCTGATATTCTCAGCTTTCAGGAAAGATGCATCTGATGCCAACAATTATATCACTTTTTCCAAGTCCCTTCTGAATCTGACTTAGGTTTCTGGAAGCTCCCTTTAATATCTAAATGGGAAGCCTCCCTGATTAAGAAATGATAACCACATCAGACAGGCAGCACACTATCAATCTAGAGATTTATCTTCTAAAAATGATCTGGTGAGTGTAAGTAATGATGCACATATACTACACAGAAAGACCAGGAACATGCATTGCCTTTGATACATAAATATTTAGATATTTAATATATATAATATACAGATGATACCTTTTCATGTTTTGCATAATTACTCTCATTATCATTACTGTTTTGTCTGCTGAGAAAGCCATTCCTCACCTTTATAACAAGTTATGATACAAAGTCATCTTATTCATCAACATTTTACTTGAGATAACCCACCTCCCCCAAATCAATTTACCTGCTTTTATCCACTTTCCAAGTAGATCTGTAAGTGGAAAAAGCCTAGTTTCTGAACTGAAAGATTTAAAATTACCATGTTTTCATGTAAAAGCTATTTCACTTTGAGAGATTCACTGAATCTCTGAAAGCTTCTATTTATTCACTGTGTTAGACAGGGTTCTCTATAGAAACAAAACCAGGACACTTATGATTTTATATATACACATATATAATAGATATATACAGCATGAAGGAATTTAACAGCTAATTAGCCCACATAGCAGTACAGAGGGCTCAGTTCAACTCACTTCTGTGAAACAGCTAATATATTGGAAGTTCTTCAACTTGGGAGGGCTGCTGGGTCCAAGGTCAAGGAAGCAGACAGTTGAATCTTCTGAAGGGCAATGAAGTCAGGCCTGCCACAGGCAGCAAACAGCAGGATGGATCACCAACACTCAGCCAGATGAAAGGATCCGAGAGTCCCCAGCTCAAGTGATGTATACAACAGCAGTGTGGTGAATCAGGTCATGAAGGAAGCTCAAGCTCTAGAGACATAGTCCACAGGTTGGGTGTCCCACAGGTAGTGTAACTCACAAGTTGAGGCAAAGAACTAGCTAAAGCAGTTGCACACTGGTCCAATCACCAGAAAGCAAGAGAGAGAGAGAGAGATGGGGCTTGCTGAGCCATTTATCTCTTTGCCCTCCGGTCAAACTGAGACCTTATTAATCCCACATGTTCCTATTAGCCAGTTTGGCACAATCACATTCACCTACAACCTCAATGTGTTGGTGTAATGATTAAATAAAAATATATACATGAGATACCTGGCACACACAAATATCACATTATTGCATATTATTTTATGCTTCAATTAGCATTGATTTTAAAGATATTTACCCAAATGCATAGTTTGCTAAGTAGATCATACACTTTATAGTACTGTTGACCCCAATAATTACCCCCTCTTGAAACTTATGCCTTTAACAATGTACCATTGCAGTTTACCAATTAAAGGCAGAATGAATATTTTCCTTTGCTCCCTAAGAATATTCACAGCTATTTGGCTCTCTTGGCCAATAGAAATTAAGTAAAATGGCATTATGTCTCATGACATCTGGCTAAACTTTGCTTGCTTTATATTGTAAGGTGTCTTAGTAGCATTGTTCAGTAAGTGTTGGACTATTAACTACAGGATTGGTGGTTCAAACCCACTATGCCCTCTAGGGATAAAAGTAAATCTGTGTGTTCCGATAAATATTTTAAAATTTTGGAAAGCCTATATAGGGTCAGATAGGTCAGCATCAACTGAATGGCAGTGGGTTTGCTTTGGGGGTTATTATAAAAGGCCCTGGAATGTAGTGGGTAACTATTTGGGCAACTAACTGCAGGATCAGCTTCATGGTGGGAAACTGATGAGTCTCTCTGTTCCGTTAAAAATTTGAAGTCTCAGAAACCTAAAGGGTCAAGAGTATACTATTCTATAGGGTCACGATGAGACAGAATTGACTTGATGAAAGTGGGTTTATTATTAGAATTATTGGGATGGAAGAGTTCTTTTCATATTTTGAGCACATTTTCAGTAAGGACCTTATTTGGGGCACATTTTAAGCAGGAACCAGTCCCTAGAAAAGATCATAATGCTTGGCAAAGTAGAGGGGCAGTTTTTAGAAGAGTAAGATTTTAAAAGATGGGTTGACATAGTGGCTTCAACAACTGTCTCGAGTATAACCGCAATTGTAATGAAGGCCCAGGACCTTACAGTGTTTTCTTCTGCTGTGCATAGGATCTCTATGAAACTGAAGTGCTCAATTTTAATTGGATTTCCTGTATTTTATGTGGCAAATACATCCATTATACCATCTTCCAATTTCATAAAAAAAAACAACATACAGCATGGAATTCTAAAGCAATCAAATAATAATTAAAAAGCACCACATTCCCGTTAAATGGATTCCCACTCTTAGGGACACAACAGTGCAGAGAACTACACCCTGTGATTTCCCAGGATACAAATATTTATGGAAGGAGAGAGCCTCATCTTCCTCCTGGTGGGTTTGAATCACCAACTTGAGGTTAGCAATTCAACATTGCACCACCAGGATGAAATAGAGAATCCAAATAGAGTTACACAGAAGCTATACATGTTATTAGTCACTTATTCATATATTTCTTTTTCTTAAGTTGTCATCATCTTTTTCAAAATATTTATTTTTTAATCATTTATTAGGGGCTCATACAACTCTTTTCACAATCCATACATATATCAATTGTGTAAAGCGCATTTGTACATTCATTGCTCTC